GAGTTTGTGACGCTAGAAATTGGTTTCGATGCCCGCAATTGGCAGAGCACAGATAGTCCATAGTGTAGCCAGCCTTGTGTTTACTAGTTAGCAAACAGACTTGCAAAGCACACTCATTTGAGAAGACCGTCAGGTTTTGTACATACTTGATGCAGACATCGTATTGTTGTAGGTGGTAAATAGATTGTGATGGTTTTAACAAAGTAAATATATATATATATATATATATATATTAATTTTGGCAGTATCTGTAACATTGTATTGATATTTATACATACTAGTGGAAATACCCAACTTCCGGGCGGGAACAACTGCAAGTTCCTGTGGAAGGCTATTGGGCCTACGGCCTTTTCTGGAATTGTATGACAGTTCTACAATTGAAATTTTAGTTTGAAAATAAGCTATCATCACAGCATGATATCACAGATTAGATTTTACTGAAGTATTTCTTCGTAGACCCAGTTATCAATGAGAGTGCCTTGCTTTTCTGTTGCAACACTCATGAGATTTCACTAAAGGAAAACAAATAATTATTTTAAAATTTGTTTTTGATTGTTTTATATTTGAAACTCACTCCCTTTTCTGTATTTTTGTTGGTTAAACCTGAAACTTACTCATTTTTTGTGGAAATTTCAACTGTTTATTTATTACTCATTTATAAAAATACTGCCTAGTTTTAAAAAAAAATACCCAGTTATGATTGGTGATAATCGGTGCGGTAGTTTCCGAAATCCGAGTTTTGGACGTAAACATCGCAAATTCCAGTATAATAAGATTCGTATTGGATCGAGATTTTGTTGATTACATACGACAGTTCGGGAAGAGAAATGGTACTTGTTAGATTTAACGCGATATCTGTATTCACGAACAAAAGTGTTACTTGCGGGATTAAATGTTCAGATGTTTCCGGCTTTGTACTGTATTCGCCCACCAGTAGCACACAGCGGCATGTCCGCGGACTTACAACGCTAGAATCCGGGTTTTGATACCCGTGGTGGGCAGAGCACAGATAGCCCATTGTGTAGCTTTGTGCTTAACTTCAAACAAACAAACTTGTACTGTGTACCCGCAAGTAGGACTTGAAATTTATCCGTCGTCAAGTTTCAAAACTTAGTAAACCTGTTCAAAAAGAAAAACAAAAGGAGACAGAAGTGTTGACACGATACGTGTTGTAAACGCAGATATTTTCAGTAATAATGTGTTACTCGTGCTGTATACTTCAGTGAGAAAGGTAGTTCTGCAAAAGTTAACCGAACTGAAGGAATTTCGATAAGTTTCGCCGTATTTTCTCGTGGGTGGGGGAGAGAAAAAAGTTGTGTAGCTTTTCAAGTGTACCGCGTTTCTTGTTCCTTTCTATTGTTTATGGAAAGACGTGTAGTCATAAGGCTTAAAGAACAGAAGACTAGTTGAAGAACTGTTGTACGTATATTCCGGCTGGTATATGCAGGTTCTAGACGTAAAAAGAAGGGCTCTCCTATACAGTCGTATATAGAAGGCGAACACAGTTAAGATTTGCTGGCCAGTCAATGTGTGTTGATGCTCCAGCGATCTTACCCTACGATCTTAGGACTAAGCTATCTTTTAACACTGCACAACAGTCCGATTTTGGGCGTTTTTCTTTATGCACAGCTTATGGATGGATATTTTCTGATCATGCAACCAGTAACTTGCCAACTTCTCTTGTCGATAGATACCTTAAAGTTAAGTTACTGTATCACTCACTATATGATTATAAGAGGCCTGGTGGTTAGAGCATTCGACTCGCAATTAACGAGTGGCGAGTTTGAAACCCTGTCAGCTGTGGGGGCGTTATAATGTGATTGTCAATCCCACTGTTCGTTGATAAAGATTAGACCAAGAGTTGGCGGTGGGTGATGTTGACTAGCTGCTTTCCCCCCTAGTCTATCACTTCAGAATTGGGCAGGAAGCTCTCGAGTAGCTTTGCGCAAAATTCAACGCTCTACCTAAGGCACAAGTTCGTTCGTTGAAAATTTTCAAAGTTCCCCATTTTTATAGTATGTGTATTTCATTTCTCAAAAAGAGCAGTTTTCGTTTTTTTTTTTTTTTTTTTTGGTTTTAAGAGATATTTTTGCTGTTGTACAGGTTTTCAAAGGGAAAAAAGTATTTGTGAATGATATAATTGTACTTTATCACGGTATCTTTTGACAAAATTATGATATTAACAACAAAACAACATTTGCCAGTTGTCATCATTATTCAAGATTTTTCAATATCAGAAGCTTGCTATATTTAGGTGTCAAATGCTACAACATAAAAGGGAACACGAAAAACTAAACATTTAAATTCAAAAACCTGGTTTTGAAAGTGTTTTTTTTTCATTAACAAGGGCAATATGTGTTAAGAAAGGTGTTCCTGTCACTGAACCTTATTCTCATTCACAAGGTTACTCCACAAGGTTATTCCAAGGTTATTTCACAAGGTTATTCCAGTGAAAAATAAATTGTTATTAATAACATATTTTTCTTCTAGATGGATATGTATTTTGGATTTACTTGTCATTTAGCAATAAATACTATTAGCGATCAGTTTCCACTGCGTTTCGTGTGATGCAATGCTTAGCAAAATAATATTTAATCATTTAAATTACTATACTATGCGCATAATGTATCAAACGGGTTACTGTTACCTAAGCTTTGAGTCCTGTCAATTTTTGTAGTTATAAGTAATGATTTTGCAAATTAATGGGGAAATTAATTTGATAGATTGCAAGAATAGCATTCATTTGGTTAGGGTAACGGTTTCAGAGTCAGGCGTTCCTCTGTGGGTCAGGCCCGGCATGGCCAGGTGGTTAAGGCACTCGACTCGCAATCTGTGGGTCGCGAGTTCG